CCGCTCCGCTTCTAGGAAAACAGTAACATTAAATTGCCTAAGACAAGTGGAGTCCGCTCTCCGCGTTCCTCTCTCCGCTCTCCGCTTCCGCGCCTAGGAAAACCCGGCTTTAAGGGAGTAACAGTTTTCACTTGCTACCAAATTTTTGGAGTATTACAAATATTGAAAAAAATTATTTTCAATCATTGATTTTTCCATTTTTAAAAAACTTGACTTGTAAAATAAGATCTTGACAGAATAGTCTTTGTGTAGTTGATTGAATCTATTATTTGAATCATAGATTGAATGTCTGTACGAAATAGATTGATTGGAAAACAATAAAAACAATATGATTGACAACTGTAGTAACAGGTAACCAACTTATTTGGCATTTATTCGTCAGATTATGTCTAACCGTAATTAATAGCTTAACAGGTAAGGTTAATAAAGATAAAGTTGACTTGAAGAGGCTAGTTAATTCAAGGATCAGCGTAGAACTAATGTATGCAAGAAGACGCGCAGGTCTTTTAACCCATTTTATCTGTCAACAATCATGTCAACGCCTTGGTTTCTACTTGCCTTAGATCTGCCAACCAGCACTTCTCAACAATTCGTGCCATATCAACCACCTAGTCTCGTTACCAGCTGTATTATCATTTCACATCGTATCACAAAACTTTTTTGTGTCTCTCTCCTAATCCAAGAACTAAGCCTTATCACATAGCTACCCTCGTATCAGCTACGGTTTGGGTATACTATGATCTCTTTTCTCCATCTATATAATTAATACGCTACATGAAACTTTGTCGGTTGAACTCCTCCGCCATTTCTTAACCGATTTTATCCGTTGACGTCACATTGGAAAGAGCGTGTCGCGTAGATTTGCAAACTGACCTTACATTTTTGAAAAAGCCCCTTGGGCTCTGCCTCAGTGGCTGTTAAAGTTTCCATGTTATCCTTATGAAGAACATTGTTTACATTTTGATCAGCTGTATGATTTAATTGCTGTTCTTTAATTTGCAATTCAATGAAACACGGTGGGTACATTTACCGATTTTGTTGAAATATTTACTTTTTTAATTTACATTCGTACATATTACAATGTAAAAAAATCTAGAAATCCTGGAAAATTATATATTACAATATACAATATATTACAATATATTACCGAATAAGACAAATGAATTGACATAGTAGGCTACTGTATTTCTTGAGAAATCATTATGAAAGAGCCGATTTGAACCATGGAAACATAGCAAAGTCATAGAACGCCACCAAGTAGAAGAAATAGAGATTTTTTAAAAATACTATCGTTATCAACATATACAGAACACATACAGCTACAATATGAAAATTCCCATCAGAAACAATGAACAAGGATGTTGGCCGAAGTGCTACTATTTTGTAGGAAACTTATGGACTTGTGATGATTGGCAAAGGAAACCCCATTAAGTCTGAATTAATACTTAAACTGGTACGGCAAGGACATTATCATTAAATATATGTTTTCATAGTCGATTTTAAAAGAATGTGACTACATCCAAGAAACCTTAATAAAACTTTCATTGAAGGATTCGCATTATTCACATTAAATGTTGATCATATGGAACTGCTAGGTACGTAATCCATGAGTTGAGTCTTTTAAACTCATCGGAAATAATGATGACTTTTATTTGTATTTAAATAACTACTTTACTTCTTTGCAATTGCTCGATTTCGAGCAACGTGTACAATAGTTATTAAACAATGCTAATACTCCTTTTACTTTGTCTATTAACTTTACAATCATCTGTTATATGCCAATCAGGAGTTTTAAAACATAACAGCTGATTGAATCATTTGTTTTTTATTTATAAAAGTATTGTTGTCTGAACACCGATAATGTCTTATCGTTAGGACATTGTCCGTTCGATAGTGTTCTGCATACAATCTCGCCGCTCCTCTTGCACTGCCATTCCAAAAAAGTAGACTATATCACTGTACTCAAATATGTTATCAGTCATTGCAGTTTTATCGATCAGCGTCCATCAACACTTTATATGAATCTCCTAATCTAAGACCTAGGCTTTATCATCTACCTATCCTTGTATTATCAACTATTCCATCCGTCATTTTTTAAGTGCTATCGCCCAGGCGTTGCACTGTTGCAGGCTTTACAGTTCTGTCTTTAGATATTGGGACCGTGACTTTCCTATGTTTTAGTAGAATGTTTCAAAGTCGAATAACCTACTGATACTTTCGTGCTCAACCTCTCTAGAAAATGTCAATTGTCAATTGTCAAGTGGTGACGTCAGCTATGCAACATCTCGGTCGTAGTAGGTCATGACAGCGTCATTATCTATGTGACTTATATGTTGTCTTGTGTCAGGTCAGTGTCACCATCTATGTGACGTCTCGGTTGTCGCGTGTCAGGTCAGTAGCGATGGCGCGGCGGTTGTCGTGTGTCAGGTCGGTGTCACCATCTGTGTGACGTCTCGTTTGTCGCGTGTCAGGTCAGTGTCATCAGCTATGTGACGTCTAGGTTGTCGTGTGTCAGGTCAGTGTCATAAGCTATGTGACGTCTCGGTTGTCGCGTGTCAGGTCAGTGTTACCAGCTATGTGAGTTATTTATTTTAGTTTGTCATGTCAGTGTCACTAGCTATGTGACGTCTCGGTTGTCGTGTGTCAGGTTAGTGTCATAAGCTATGTGACGTCTCGGTTGTCGTGTGTCAGGTTAGTGTCAACAGCTATGTGAAGTCTCGGTTGTCGTGTGTCAGGTCAGTGTCATCAGCTATGTGACGTCTCGGTTGTCGTGTGTCAGGTCAGTGTCATCAGCTATGTGACGTCTCGGTTGTCGTGTGTCAGGTCAGTGTCATCATCTATGTGACGTCTCGGTTGTCGTGTGTTAGGTCAGTGTAATAAGCTATGTGACGTCTCGGTTGTCGTGTGTCAGGTCAGTGTCATCAGCTATGTGACGTCTCGGTTGTCGTGTGTCAGGTCAGTGTCATCAGCTATGTGACGTTTCGGTTGTCGTGTGTCAGGTCAGTGTCATCAGCTATGTGACGTCTAGGTTGTCGTGTGTCAGGTCAGTGTCATAAGCTATGTGACGTCTCGGTTGTCGCGTGTCAGGTCAGTGTTACCAGCTATGTGAGTTATTTATTTTAGTTTGTCATGTCAGTGTCACTAGCTATGTGACGTCTCGGTTGTCGTGTGTCAGGTTAGTGTCATAAGCTATGTGACGTCTCGGTTGTCGTGTGTCAGGTTAGTGTCAACAGCTATGTGAAGTCTCGGTTGTCGTGTGTCAGGTCAGTGTCATCAGCTATGTGACGTCTCGGTTGTCGTGTGTCAGGTCAGTGTCATCAGCTATGTGACGTCTCGGTTGTCGTGTGTCAGGTCAGTGTCATCATCTATGTGACGTCTCGGTTGTCGTGTGTTAGGTCAGTGTAATAAGCTATGTGACGTCTCGGTTGTCGTGTGTCAGGTCAGTGTCATCAGCTATGTGACGTCTCGGTTGTCGTGTGTCAGGTCAGTAGCGATGGCGTGGCGGTGGCGGGGTTGTCAGGTCAGTGTCATCAGCTATGTGACGTCTCGGTTGTCGTGTGTCAGGTCAGTAGCGATGGCGTGGCGGTGGCGGGGTTGTCAGGTCAGTGTCATCAGCTATGAGACGTCTCGGTTGTCGTGTGTTAGGTCAGTGTAATAAGCTATGTGACGTCTCGGTTGTCGTGTGTCAGGTTCAGGTCAGTAGCGATGGCGTGGCGGTGGCGGGGTTGTCAGGTCAGTGTCATCAGCTATGTGACGTCTCGGTTGTCGTGTGTCAGGTCAGTAGCGATGGCGTGGCGGTGGCGGGGTTGTCAGGTCAGTGTCATCAGCTATGAGACGTCTCGGTTGTCGTGTGTTAGGTCAGTGTAATAAGCTATGTGACGTCTCGGTTGTCGTGTGTCAGGTCAGTGTCATCAGCTATGTGACGTCTCGGTTGTCGTGTGTTAGGTCAGTGTAATAAGCTATGTGACGTTTCGGTTGTCGTGTGTCAGGTCAGTGTCATCAGCTATGTGACGTCTCGGTTGTCGTGTGTCAGGTCAGTGTCATCAGCTATGTGACGTCTCGGTTGTCGTGTGTCAGGTCAGTAGCGATGGCGCGGCGGTGGCGGGGTTGTCAGGTCAGTGTCATCAGCTATGTGACGTCTCGGTTGTCGTGTGTCAGGTCAGAAGCGATGGCGCGGCGGTGGCGGGGTTGTCAGGTCAGTGTCATCAGCTATGTGACGTCTCGGTTGTCGTATGTCAGGTCAGTAGCGATGGCGTGGCGGTGGCGGGGTTGTCAGGTCAGTGTCATCAGCTATGTGACGTCTCGGTTGTCGTGTGTCAGGTCAGTAGCGATGGCGCGGCGGTTGCCGGGTTGTCAGGCAACTCACCTGTTGCGCCAACTCTGTATTGATTGCTCTCTCTGGTTACTTTCCCCACAGCTTCGACTCTCGCTCTCCTCTTTACCCCTTTTCAACTATAATGTCCAAATCTTTGCACATAACATTTCTTTATAGCAAGGACATTTGGATTTTCACTTGCTGTGATTCTATCAGGATTTCGCTGTCTAATCTTCCCAGTAATATTTAAATAGAAGACAAGCAGGGCTTTTCGTGTGTTCATAAATACTCTTATAATTATTCTAACGCGACAATAATATAGCAGTTCAAGAATTTAATTATTTTAGTTTAATCGATGAATCAAAATTGTTAATAATATCTAAGGGAGTATGTTTTATCTATACTCAGTTAGAAATGATCTTAATAAAAATTATATCAAAGCTCAACAAAAATCATTTTCAATTACACAGATTTTTAAGGTATATTTTATTTTACATTTGGTGTTTCACAAATTATATCGATAATTAATACACAGTTATTTTACCATCTATAGACAATTTATGAAATCTGACACTCTAGTTAGTCTACAGTGATTTTTTTTATATTATGTAGTATCTAGAAATCTAGAAATACCTTTAACAGACATAGTTAGACAACTAGGTTTACGTATATGCAATATAAATACCTGGGAGGCGCCGTGGCCGCAACAGGCTCCGTCAGCCGCTCGTCCAAGGGTGCAGACCGTCCCGATCCCGTAACGTAAAATGTAGCGTATTTACTCTCCCGGGTCGATGGGGCCGCGCCGGCGCGCCGCTCCGGGCCCCGTACTACTGTACTGTCATATCGAGTTTATCAGTTCACCACAAATTGATTCCTCCCGCTCGTGGATTTATAACGGTCTAAGCACTGTAATCTCATCTCCGGATACACAGGGTGGAATTGTGCCTTAGAAATACCGTAAGAGACCGATGCAAATAGTGGAAATCTGTTAGCTTAGGATTAAAGCGTTAGTTGGTTGCAACAGAGTTTTCAATGTTTGGTATATCAACAACAAATTAAGGGATTTGGTCCGCTTTCATTTATGCTCTATTTTTGGCATTTAAAAGAGCCACCTATTATCTGTTAACCATCAAACTTGCATCGAGTATTTTTTTAATTTAAGGGCTTCATGATAATGTAACGTCCGTAAAATTCGGGACTATCTTGAGTTTGTCTTGTTACTTCGGAGTCGTAGCCGGGGAATGATTTCGAACTAATCAAAATAAGCTCTATTCAATTAAAACATGAAATGATTACGATAGTGAGTTGTTCCATTAGGTGACATGGTGGCATTAATGTCAAAACTAGTCGTTGGAAAAATCAAATGCATTCTTATTTAGTCTTATTAATAATGTGTTGGAATATTAAAATAGTAGCCTCAATCACTATAATTTCTATATATTTTGTTATTGCTAAGGATTCAGGCCAAGACCATTTTCATTGGCCCATTTAAAACAGCTGGGTCCTGAGCTGACCTTTCTTAGAATCAACCAAGTGACCTTTAAGATACTTGGCGAGCGCTATAACCACTAAGCTACCCTGATCTTTACTACATAATCTTAACGAATAAGCATCAAAATCACATACAACAGCCTTCTGTAGGTTGTTTATTACAAGGTGACCCATTAAACGTGGGAGTTTTCGGTGTACTGAAGCGGTTAAGCCTAAAGAAGTTTGAGATTCATAGCAAATTAAAATTTTATTGAAGTAAAAAAAGTTAAGAAATTGACACAAATAGTTTTCACAGTTTAAAATTGGATTGAAGCTAAAGCTTGTGAAATTTTGTTTACACAAAAAGTGAAAACTTGGCAGTCAGAAAACTAATAAAACGTTGGAATGTGATTAAAAGGTAAAGTGGCAAAACCCTCAGGCGAGAGAAATCTATGAATTTAATCCTTTCATACTAATTTAATTAAACTTGAATGTTAACTTAGCTTGTTTGTTAATCGATGAAAAATATTTGTATGATGATTCAGCTTTTATTTAGTATCATTGAATAAAATTATATGTGTTGTATTATTTGATGATCCACAAAAGAAGATCTTATAATGAAAGTTTGACATTTTGTGGAATCCAATAATAAAGTTTAGTGTAATTTGCAACTTCAACATCTTCAGGTGAAATTCAACTGATTGTTTAAACTTTCTGACCCAAGCGTGGAAGACTTTTCATCTTTAAAACACTGGAAATTTAATTTTTTCTTGATAAACCTATTTTTAATTTACTCATAAAGTTATTAAATAACATTTTCTAATCAATAGTACACACAAGTTAGATAAAGGCCTTGTTCATTAGTTCGTATTTATATGGCTGGGTAGCTGCTTGGTTATAATGCTCGCCTAACAGTATATTTCATCACTAGGGCATAAAGTAACTCTTTTCGACCCGAGCTCGAAGCCCCACCGAGGTCGAAAAATGAGTGAGGGTTGAAAAGACACTTTTGCCCTTGTGATGAACTAATTTTTTATAGTGCACCATTATTTGAACAAACTATTTTACAAAACTAAATAGTGTTCATTTAAAGATAACCTCTCAAAACTACTTCTAACTTGTTTTTAATGTTATTTACTATTGGAAACAAGCAGCTGTTTAGTAAGTGATTCTATCGTTTCGTTTATTACGACTGTGTTAGTGTACATTATACCATCGATATATCGAACTATTTACAATAAGGCAACAATAATTAACTACATTCGATTAAGCAATCGATACATGCAATTGTGTACACTCGAAATTTACAACTGAGTTGACAACAGCTGATTTTTACTCCCTAGGGGCTAGAACGCATTTTACTCAATGCTACTCTAGACTATCGATCTTGCTCTCTAGATCCGCAACGCATGCATTTAAAACGTCTGTTTTTGCCGTATGATAGTTTTTTTTATCTACACTGTAACTTTAGGGCGTACAATATACTAAACAAAATATGATTCTTAGCTCTATAAGTTTAGTTTTGGGGATCACAATTGAAACCATCAATATTTACCCCATGAAACCCAGGGGGTCTATGGGGACATCAAACCGAGAAGTTAATCGGTCCCGGGTGAAGTCCTACGGTGAAACCTACGGTAATACCTTATTCCCTATATGGAAAATTCGCTGAAACTAAAGTATAATGACTAATATTTATAAAAAAGACTTGTAAATAGCAGCAGCGGGGTTTAGAGTAAATATGGCCAACAGTTAGGGAAGAGCTCTCAAGTGATATACGGAACCACATTATTTCCCGTGTCAATTTTGAAACAATGCTTCTGTCCGTGTACAATGTGTTGGTTTACAAAGCGAATCGTGTAAATATTCGGTAAAACATTTGTTGTGTGATATTGTATAGAAAACCGGATTATTTTTTAAAATACTATGTTGGTCGATTTATGCTGTAACACTGCTTGGTCATAATTATAGAAGATAAACTACTGACTTATAACTAAGATGAACTAGGTATAAGCTCAAACCACCTAACAGCACAGACGTACTGACTTTTCCTATGGTCAAATGGTCCTTTAAATCCTCTGTTGAAAGCAGTCACAATCGGTTATCAATTATAGATTCAAAACTCAACCGTACCACTTAGTTAATCTATACTAGTATATACAAATCTAATGGTGTCTGTCTGTATGTGTATTACTAATAGGTGCACAAACTACTGAACCAACTGGGCTAAACTTTTACAAAAATATAGCTACCATACCAAGGACCATTATAGGACTATTCACACTTTGATACTGACCGTGGGCCTTGCCCCTTTGGCTTTAAAAGTTCTGAGGTGAGGATTTTAAAAGTAAATATTGATTTGTCTCCATGGCTGCGATGAGAACACTAATAATGTTTGTTTACATTTGCTTTGACATTTCAATGTAAACAAGAAGAACTGTTAAATTGCATATTTCACAATTTCAGACAGCTGATACAAAGAGATTAAATATAATATTTTCCATAACTATGAGGTAGGTTTTTTAATCCAACCTTTTATCATAGACTAACCAACGTTTTATCTATGCTTTTATCATGGATTATTTATTCTAAAACTATGTCAATGATTATAGAAAAAAATATTCTATAACCGTTGCTGTATCAACTCCGGCTCTGCTTTGGATTTTTTAAAGCGTAGTTATGAAAATAATGTTATTGGTATGTTTTCATGGAAACATTATGAAAATTACAATGTTTAGATGGTTTGTATGAATTTGGAGGCATTTTTTTATAATTACTAACTGCTTAACATGTGTTGGATAAACTTAACATAAATTACACTTCACATATTTTTTTATTTAGGTAAATTTAGTAATTGTGTTTTGCTACACCAATGATTAAATCAAACTAAGGAAAATATCATAAAACTTAGCTGTACACAGTGTTCTTTTGTTTCTAAAATCAATTATGTCTGTTACTGTGTTTACTCAATGGTAAGTGTGAAAATGTAATGAAAAAGGATTATGGGACTAAATAAAAGAACTGGTTTGTATATTATGTTGTTCGTTGATATTTTGTACAGTAAAATCATAGATGCAATGAAACATATACCGTATTACTATTAAATTTTATTCGTCCTTGATCTTGATGTTTTGATAATCATTAGTTTAGTCTGCCATCTTAAATGCTCAATTTCATGTGTAAATTAACTAATAAGCACTAAATATATATAACAAAAATGTGTTAAGGGTGTGGATAGGTTTATTTACCTTGGGGCAGAGTTGAATAGCAAAAACACTGTTGCGCAAGAAATCACAAACTGAATCATCGCTGGTAACAGAGCATATTTTGCTAACCTTAAGATCCTGAAATCCAAGCTGATGCCCCGCAAGACAAAGATGAAGCTGTACAAAACTCTCATTAGGCCTGTTGTTACGTACAGTGCAGAAACCTGGTCCCTTTCTGACAGTGCAGAAACCTGGTCCCTTTCTGACAGTGCAGAAACCTGGCCCCTTTCCGCACAGACACAAAGACCATTAGGGTTGAATTTTGTTTGTAAAAGCGTTAGCAGATGTGTATATTTTATACAACAGATGTAAAGATCAAAATGTTTCGATTTCAGGTCCTCTTCCCGTTGCAAAGCACGGGTACAACAGCTAGTAAATTGTATTTGTCAAAAAACATCCAAACCATATGTTTATCTCATTATTGGTTCGAACCATGGTTCGAACTAGTGACATCAGTTGTTTATGTTTATGATCCATACAGTTTCTGTTCTTATATCTTTGATAACTGTTACAACCATTCCTTTAAGTCAACAGCTGATCTAATGCCTTTGTTTTTGTGTCAAATACTGCTCCCATAAGGATTAAATTGAAATTTTGTCCTTAGAAAATGATTGCTCCAGCCGTCTTGGAGGAGTTTGCGTATTACCGGTATTACGAAATACACAAAAGTCGAAGTATAAGTTTTTTTGAATCGATAGGCTTCTAACAGATTAAAGACCCTCTTTTCTAAAATAAAATAAATAAATGAGATAATAATATCTTATGTTATTGAGTTCGTTTTATTTATTTTAGTTAAAAATTACAATACCACACCATATGAAAGCAGAATTCTCATGAAAAGTAATTAGGAACGTGCCATTAGTATAAAACATAATGCGGTTATAACCAATTTGTGCATGCAATACAGCATCTGTAACGCAAAATGAATGCTGTGCCCATATTGCCTATAGTACCATGTGAAGGGGCTATTGCCTATGAATATTTAAGTTTAAAGTGTTGTGTATTAATCTAAGTACTAGTATTAGGTTGTAGCTCCCTTACTTGATTTTTCTTTAAATAAATAAAAAGGATGGATAAGGTATGAAAAAAACGTATACAGGGTGTTCAAAAAAGGTGGGGATATAATTCACGTGTTTCCTTGGGTAAAAATAAAGATAAAATCAAGAATGACATTTTCCCCAAAATCACTTCGTTAACCAGATATCCGCAATTTTTATTTTTTACATAAAAAATTGTATCTTTGGATTTTTTCACCGATCTTTATGAAACTTGGTATGTATGTTAGTGTAAAAGAGACCCATGTTATAAAAAAATTTATCTTAATTCAACTTAAATTTTTAAAATGGCGGCCATTTTAGTTTTTTAAACTTAAACGACCAAAAAAGGCTCATTTTATGAAAAAATTCCAAGAACACTTGTATATAGCATTTTTAATTTCCAAGTGCAAAAAGATCAATTAAGAAATAGTTGAAATAATACGATTTTTAGTTGTAAATTGGGGCAAACCTGAGCTTTTCTGCCTTAAACATTTTACTACTAAAAATCGTAATATTTCAGCTATTTCTTACTCGATCGTTTTGCACTTGGGAAAGTTTGATAGGAAATAAATTTAAAATGGCCGCCATTTTAAAATTTTGGGTCGAATAAAAAGGAATTTTTTTTCTTACATGGGTCTCTTCTACCTTAACATACATAACAAGTTTCATAAAGATCGGTTGAAAAAAACCAAAGATAAAAATGTGTATGTAAAAAGTACAAAATGGTGAATATCTGGTTATCTGGATTTTGGAAAAATGTTTTTCTTGATTTTCTCTTTATTTTGACCCAAGGAATCGAATATATCCCAACCTATGCACCTTGTATAAACATTGTATTCTAACAAAAAATACAAATAATGGTACCGAAAAGATGAATGGGATGTATTAAAAAAAACATACACTTAAAAAAAAATATCTTACCGTCTACACTAAAAAGGAATACTGGTATCTATAGTTTGCCTTAAATTGATGACAAAAAATTAAAATTTTTCACAGACGGAAAATCTGTTAAAGGAAATAAGTGCTCTTTAAAAGCTGTTAACAACTACAGAAGATGATCTAACATCTGGGCGATCTGCAGTTTGTTCTCTAGTTATTGTGACATAGTGAGTGGCCCATGTCGTACAGCTGGGTGATCTGCAGTTTGTTCTCGAATGATTGTCACATAATGAGTGGCATGTCGTACAGCTGGGTGATCTGCAGATTGATCTCGAGTGATTGTCAGATAATGAGTGGCCCACGTCGTACAGCTGGATGATCTGCAGTTTGTTCTCGAGTGATTGTCACATAATGAGTGGCCCATGTCGTACAGCTGGGTGATCTGCAGTTTGTTCTCGAGTGATTGTCACATAATGAGTGGCCCATGTCGTACAGCTGGGTGATCTGCAGTTTGTTCTCGAATGATTGTCACATAATGAGTGGCATGTCGTACAGCTGGGTGATCTGCAGATTGTTCTCGAGTGATTGTCACATAATGAGTGGCATATGTCGTACAGCTGGGTGATCTGCAGTTTGTTCTCGAGTGATTGTCACATAATGAGTGGCCCATGTCGTACAGCTGGATGACCTGCAGTTTGTTCTCGAGTGATTGTCACAGAATGAGTGGCCCATGTCGTACAGCTGGATGACCTGCAGTTTGTTCTTGAGTGATTGTCACAGAATGAGTGGCATATGTCGTACAGCTAGGTGATCTGCAGTTTGTTCTCGAGTGATTGTCACATAATGAGTGGCCCATGTCGTACAGCTGGATGACCTGCAGTTTGTTCATGAGTGATTGTCACAGAATGAGTGGCATATGTCATACAGCTGGGTGATCTGCAGTTTGTTCTCGAGTGATTGTCACATAATGAGTGGCCCATGTCGTACAGCTGGATGACCTGCAGTTTGTTCTCGAGTGATTGTCACATAATGAGTGGCCCATGTCGTACAGCTGGATGACCTGCAGTTTGTTCTCGAGTGATTGTCACATAATGAGTGGCCCATGTCGTACAGCTGGATGATCTGCAGTTTGTTCTCGAGTGATTGTCACAGAATGAGTGGCCCATGTCGTACAGCTGGATGACCTGCAGTTTGTTCTTGAGTGATTGTCACAGAATGAGTGGCATATGTCGTACAGCTGGATGACCTGCAGTTTGTTCTCGAGTGATTGTCACATAATGAGTGGCCCATGTCGTACAGCTGGGTGATCTGCAGATTGTTCTCGAGTGATTGTCACATAATGAGTGGCATATGTCGTACAGCTGGATGACCTGCAGTTTGTTCTTGAGTGATTGTCACAGAATGAGTGGCCCATGTCGTACAGCTAGGTGATCTGCAGTTTGTTTTCGAGTGATGGTCAAAGATTGGTGAATATTCCACAGTTTACCCTGCATATGGAAACAGAGCAACTGGTAAACAATGCCTAATTTGATGTTTGCCAGTTTGTTTCATAGTTTACTGTCACATGGGAGATGCCATACTAGCGCACATTTGGATGTTTTGTAGCGTATTTAGTAGTTCTGCTTTATTCTGTTTTGCCTGCAGCAACAATTTCCCTTCAGGCAAAACCTCTGGCTCCACCGCTAAGAAAAATATCGTCTTGTCCAGACACTCGAGAGATTCCTGTTGAACAAAAAGACGTAAAAAAACATATCGTATTGCATATATTTTAAGAAAACTATTTTATACTCTATTTTGTACTGTAAATAGTTCCTGTATGCTGATTAAATCCCTTTAAAGTTTTAAAATAAAATGAAATTAATCAGTCTGTACTAATCGGCATCATACGTGGTCGTTGAAGCAAAAGACCAGGTATATAATTAGAAGTGGAGACGAATCAATGATAAAACCAATTTGGAAGGACAATTTTTGGATTAAGTAAACCCCTCTCAACACCTACAAAAATTGTGGAAATATAAAGTAACCAAAATATTGATATTGTTGAGAGCTCTTGAAGATGCAGAGGACCGAAAGAAGTGGAGGTATTACTTTTTAGGTCAAATACCATTCTCGGATTTTAATTGCAATCAGAGTAAGCATATATTAATAGACTGTTTAAACTAAAAGAAATTGCTATAAGTGTCTATTAAGTTGGCAATTGTTATGGAAGGGTTAGAATTCACTAACCATGAGAGCCGAGTAGAACTGGTCGTGGCCTTGAAGGTGGTCGCGACGAGCACGCTCAGCTAAACATGCGTGGAGGCCGAAATTGAGCATCCCCAACACTCTGGTCTCGCCTGAGGGACAAACACATGCTGAGCTTAAATCGCAATTGCATAACAAGACTACGAGTCTCACAACAAGTTTACAAGCTGCTACCTTTGACTAGATCGTCAGGATCCAATAGTCAACGCTGCTGCGCAAGTTGTGGCTCTGCTCTCAAATCATTGGACCATGTGGGACTATCGCCGAACTGCATAGTTTATTTACACCACAAAGAAGCCTGTTTACACGCATTCATGGCCAGTAAATTGTATGCAGGAAGACATTGTTATTCAACAATCTATATATTAATTTGAAACTGTTTTTCTTTGTGACAGCTAATTTGAGAGAACGGCTGGGTGTAGAAACTCGGTAGGGGTCTCTAAAGAAAGGTCTTGGCCTGTAGATGAGCCATCAACAGAGAAACGTGGTAAATTCCCTTGGGGCTCTGCCCCAGTGGCCTTTAAATTCCCATCCCATGTTATTCTTATGGAGGAAAAACTGTTAAAATGGTATAATATTACCTGTTTCCGTCTGTGATCCTATATTTGTTGTATAGAGCAACCGGTTTCAAGGCTATAACCTCATCTTCAGGCTCTTGTCGTCACTCTTGCGAGATCGTCGAGTTTCATAAACACACAAAAACACCAACATTGAAATAAATAAACACGAGACATTGACAGACGAAGACGATTAACATAAATTCGGGAACTAGTTCCACACAAAACGCGGCACGGGCAAACGTTTTGTCATGACTCTTTGAGTCATGACAAAACGTTTGCCCGTGCCGACTCTTTGAGTCATGACAAAACGTTTGCCCGTGCCGACTCTTTGAGTCATGACAAAACGTTTGCCCGTGCCGCGTCGTGTGTGGAACTAGTTCCCGAATTTATGTTAATCGTCTTCGTCTGTCAATGTCTCGTGTTTATTTATTTCAATGTTAGTGTTTTTGTGTGTTTATGAAACTCGACGATCTCGCAAGAGTGACGACAAGAGCCTGAAGATGAGGTTATAGCCTTGAAACCGGTTGCTCTATACAACAAATATAGGATCACAGACGGAAACAGGTAATATTATACCATTTTAATATTCAAGAAGTGATCCTGGACCAAATAACATCAATATGAAGGAAAAACTGTCTTTTGTCATAGAACGGCTGGGTGTAGAAACTTGGTAGTGGTCTCTAAAGAAAGGTCTTAGTCTGTAGATGAGTTATCAAAAGAAAAAGCGAGAAATCCTGGACAATTTGATATACAAAAAATAAAACTGAACACTGTGCTACATTTCTTGAGCAATAATTGAAAGAGCCGATTTGTAAACAATGGAAACAGGAAAGTCATAGAACACAACCAAGTACAGTAGAAGAAATAGTAATAATGTTTTTTTTTTAATTTATAATCGTTATTATAGACAACCTAATGCGGCTATGAGTGGGAAACATTTTGTAGAAAACACTAAAAAAACAAGGGCAGCTTTTGAAAAAAGATAAGATATTTACAAAACATTTTGATTATATCTAACTGTTGTGTACATCTTGAGTATTTCCATAATCTTTGAGTCGACTCTTATAGAGTCATCGGAAATTATGACTGTTGTTCGTTTTAAAATAACGCCTGTAATGTTTCGCAATTGCTCGAATCCGAGCAACAGGTACACTAGTGTTCTTTGAACAGAACATGTTTTTATTTTGCCTATGTGTTTTGTCACTAATATCGTTTTTATACTTTTTCGTAAGGGAACTATCCTAACCTTGGTCAGATTTTATGACGACTAATAGGCAACCCAGCATAGCATTTGCTCCCAAGTAAATGTTATTGCAATAATTCGGACACCAAAGCCTTCTCAGGTCCCTGACTCATATTGTAACTCATATTGAGTTTATTTGAGTTCTTGTTATTTCAGTGACCAATAATAACTGGGCTCAGTTTCAAACCAATAGAACGTCTACAGCCATTCCTTAGCGATCTTCTGATTAAGCCAGCACCATGCCGCTGTCCAGACGTTCCTTCCACCATCCCTGAAGTATTCGTCCTAGTTGAAAATACAAGTTTCTAAAACTTACAGTTAAACGAGCAAATGTTTCACCTGGTGCTATGAGAGACAGCAGCTCCAGCAAGTCCCTGGTAAGGTTGACCTTGTACTGGAGGCATTCTGGAGACAAACCTCGTATACCCTGCGGGGACTCTTGACCCATCCTCTCAGCGATCGCCAGCCTCACCTCGGTCAGGTAGAAGTGGTTCTGGTGAAACTTGGACCTCCATTTCTCCAGGAACTTGGTCGACTCTGTGAGGTTCTTGGACTGCAGAGTGGCAAGTTCCTGGCCAGCCTACATTGCAACAAGAATGCAACAGATAACACGAATATGAATACCTCTGTTTTGTCTCCTTTTGAAGCTCGTTTACTTGTATTTTGAAAATTTGTATAAGCATAGGATGTTTTTTAAACACTTTTGTAAGTTATTTGTATCGTTCACCTTAGATGAAAAGGCTACTTTTACTATTCAGAGTCAATAATATTTGTACGAACCTGTTGTAGTGTAGCCTCGACCTGGGAGTCGTATACGACATGACCGCACGAGTCGCAGGTCCAAGGAGTAGCCTCCACCAAGGAACACAGACTGGCTGGTAGCATAGTACCCGAGCAGTCACTATAACACAAGGGTTGAATGTAGTTAACTCCTGTTATATAAAGGTTATTTTAAAGTGGCAGGATCATTTAATAACAGGGTAATTAATTATCCTTTGACTCTTATTATAAAACACAAAAACTGTTTCAAAGTTATTTGGTGGTACATAAAGTAGCGATTCAATTTTTTTTACCGAAACCTGCAAGTTTTGGAACATCTGATTATAAACATGTGTACGATTCCAACCATAAAATGAGAATAATGTAGTGAACAAACATAAATTATTTATGTTTGTGTACTACATTGGATTGAAGTTTAGAATTTTACATGGTTGCTAACACTTTGTTAGTGGTTCATCTAAGTTAAAACCTTAGAAATATTTATATTTCAGTGGCAAGGCCAACAATAATAAAATGGGAGATACAGACGTGACAGACGCTACTGAAGATATAGCATCAATCGACCAAAAAGCTGAAACTCGACTAGAACAAGAGATACAGGCCTCAACACGCAACATAGTAGGTCTCGTTAGTTCACCCTCTTTATTCCGTAAATCACACGTACCAGATGTAACTGAGTTACTAGACAACCTCAACAGTGAAGAGTTGACCGCCTTGAGAGCACACTTTTACGAGAAAAAGGTCGACGAAAAGATCAAAGAGCCAAAAGGAAGTGCGCACCCTCGTTTTTGTGGATTCAAATTGAACAAAGATGAGTTTCTATCAGCGATAGAAAGTGTAATGGCCACCTCGCAGTACAATGATGCTGCTGAAGATTTGTTCGAGCTTCTGGTGAAGGATAACGCGGAGGAACACACGGGATACCTCTGGTGGGAGCAGCTACTGGATGAACTGATGGACTTTATGTCGGAAAAGACAAAGTCACGGCCTGGAGACATTGTTAAGGAGTCGTTCTGTAGTCTCCACGCAATGTCTCACTGCAGGAGGGAGACGATAGTAAGAGTGGTGGTGGTGGAGACGGCCAAGTCGTTCTGCTACGTGGTCGTGTCCAAGTACGGCAAGGTGGGGATATACGACTGGAACATGAGTCTGTTGGAGCAATACGAGGTGAGACTGAGTACCCAGATAGCTACGACAGCCGGAGGAGAGGTACGAAGGACGACGTGGGTTGTTGACGCGGTGCACATGACTGACGCCGCCACACTCCTAGTGGCAGCGAGTGACCGGAGTCTACACTTCTACTCTATGTCTGGACTGGTGTGTGTGCCTGTCTACCGCATCTCAGGCCTCCCCAACACACCTACCTGCCTGCACTACACACCGGGGGTAGCAGACAGCGTGTCCATGCTGCTAGTGGGGGACGACCAGGGATCCATCGCCACTGTCTACTTCCATCAGCCACAATACGCTCTGTTTAAACGAACGAGCAACGATTCTTTTGACGAGTACTTCTGGAAAGAACTGAGCTCACAGAAAGCGTGGGTGACGATCACCATGGATCAAGGAATCCACAAAGACGAGATCCACAGAGTGGAATACTTTAGCGACAACAACACCGTCGTCAGCTGCAGTAACGACCCGAGCACCACAGTGATCATCCGTTACATCGTCGGTCGGCGGGCTCCTTACGTGTTCAAGATAACTCGAGGAGTGAGATGTTTCCATCTAGATCGCTCGCTGAGGCTCTTGGCCACAGGAGGAAAAGACAGCGTCGTTAGACTGTGGAACCCCATAATCCCAAAGAAACCGGTCGCGTCTTTGTTTGGCCACAAGACTTGTATCGTAGACGTTCGTATCCTTAGACATCTAAGCGTACTTATAAGCATTAGCAAAGATACAGTTGTTAAAGTCTGGGACCTGGTAAAACACACGTGCATGCAATCGCTTCCCCTTCTTTTCCCCGTTCACGGAGCTTTGGCGAGAACCCCAGAGTTCGGGGTGCAATCTTTTTATCCCGGTCCGGTGACGTGTAAGCCACCTTTTGTTATGCCGAGGAAATCTTCGACTGAGTTCGTGTTTTCTCCCCGCACCGTGACGACTGCTAGTTCTAGTGGATTAGAGAGTAGTACAAGCACATCTGACTCCCGTTGGCTGGAGAAGTTGGACTCAAAAAGTGACAACAGCAACGGTCTGTCGAGTACTCATACAGCAAATACCTCAAATAGTAAGCAAGATATGGAAAGTGTTAAAACTACGACGTCCGGTCTTTATAGGCTTCCAACGTTGGCCAGTATTGGTCAAGGTTCTGGTCGTCATGAAACTAGAACTGACACAAGATTCACCAACGCCACCGAGCGTAGCGATGCGACTACATCTTGTGTCGAGTCGTCATGGACCCGGATGGAGCTGCTAGCAGTGAGTTGCAACTGCGTCGTCATTCTGCAGCTGAGTGAGAGAGACTTGGATGAGAGGGAGGACAGGAGAGTCGGGAACCCTCTGGACCCTCCACTTCGCAATCAAGATCCTGTAGCCCCCTCGCCGTGGTTATCAGTAGACGACGCCTACCTGACTGGCCTCACCAACATCGACGATCTCAAACCACCAGGTGAGTTGGACGCACCACCCACGATACTGGCAACGTTACAGAAGAGCTTGGGTAATGAGATGACCAGAGATCTAGCATCGGTGGCTGCTTCTTGCTACAGTCGCGATTCTCAACAGACAGACCTGAAGCAGATCCGGGCGATGGTTGACCAGTGCGCTCCCCACTTGGCGCTAGGTACCACGGAATTGGAGGACATCCCGTTCAAAATCCCGCCAACAGTCGTCCATCATACACACAGACGGCGGAAAGAGAAAGAGGTCCCAGCGAGAGAGACGAAAGTGACGAGAGCCTCCATGACAATAGACGAGTCCGAGACGTCCACCGTCATGGACACCACAACCACCAACACTAACACCAACACTACCTCTACCTCGACCAACAGGTCAAATAAATACTGATAATAAATGCCTGTTGTCATTCTTGGTTGTTTGGTTGGTTTGAGATTATTGTACGTAAGATTATGGAAGTGTTGCATGTCTATTGAAAAGAAACATAAAAACAATAATAATGAACCATTTATCTCACATATACACAACGTATCTCATTATACATAGCCCTCTACTTCAATTAAATAATTTTTATGTTTTATAATTTGATTTAACACAGGTTTGACTTTTATTTTTTTATAAATTATTTCTTTAACTTTTGATAGTCAATATCACTACATACTTCACATTTAAAAATTTTGAGTCGTTAAAATTTAGGCTACGATATTACATTTTGGACTCATACAAAATAACTCTTTTTTAAAACAAATATTCGAGTCATCAAGTTTTTACTGCCCAATTATAGTCATTAATAAACGATCCGTCATCTTTAAGTACAGTTTCACTAGGAGGAATCTATGCTTTTCAATCTACCATCGTGAAGTCTCCTACCTTTTTTCGCACAGAATGGCGCTAAAGTAAGTGCCCATCTCGGTCGGGTCGAGACACCTCGGGCACTGACAGGTAAAGAACTTTGTGTCCCGCAGGTGGTACTGTCGGTTCACCGTGCCCCAAAGACAGTCTGTGTAGCAGATGGAGAGATGTTGCCCGGCGGACACCTTGACCACGGCGCGGAGGACGAGGCTAGCATCACTGGCGAAACTCTTGGCACAGTTGGGGTGACAGCTGTGCTCTAACATGGAGGAGAGGTCGTAGACAGCGACGTGGGCTGGCTGGGTGAGAGGTACTTCGTGGCCGTTGACCTGACAATAGAACCGACTATTTATTAAAACTCGTGCGTCTGCTTAGAAAACAATTTACAAGACATACAACTTTGGGGAATTTTTGACATTTTTTTGTTTATAGAATCCGCTTTAACTCTACAAATTGAAACGTGTTAATCAAAACATTTTCAAACTGACCATTACAAAACTGGTCAGGCAAACAAAATCAATGTTAAAGGTACAAAAGATTCAACATTTCATTGACATGTCAAGAAACCTACTACAACTACTACTGTAGTAAAAGGTGCAGCAACTTTTCGAAATGTATCCATGGTCAAGACAATTTTAATAACTCATGTATAAATTGCAAAGTCAACTTCGAATCAAGCCTACTACAGCATTGGCGAATTTCTAAATGGACCTCTAATGCCTCTATGGTGTTTTTGGCCTCTGGGGACCTAAAACAAAATAGCTTATTCCCTATATGGGAAATTCGCTCAAATCCGTTCCAGTGACTTAAAGTCAACAAGGACCCCTACAGAATTGGCGACATGTCCAACAGTTTGCCAAAATGCATTCAACGTCAAGAACAATTAATTTTTAACTGTGGCATCGGTGAATAACTAAATGGGAAAAGCCAAGTCAACATCTTATCCTTTCGTGTGCGACTGTTAATATTATCCTTTTATTTCGTGTTAATTCCTCGGGGCTGTTTTAGGACTTTCTCCTCTTCAGATTGTTTGCGAATGCTGACTGGTTCGATTTCAGGCACATCCACAAAACTTAATTGAGTTGGCATAGGTTATGCGTTGAATTTACTTAATTAAAAATGTCACTGGTATAAACACAAGAAAAGAAAAAAAGCCCTGATGTCGAACTCACTTGTATGATTCCCCAGATATCCATGATGTCCTCGTCACTAAACTCGTCCTCCAGCTTGTAGAACCTGCGGAGGAACTGAGCGACGGTCCTGGTGTCTTCCTTGTACTTGTGTGTGCCTCGTCGCTCCTCCGTGTGCGACTGCAGCTTGCACAGTCTGCCCCACAGTCCAGGGCTGTGTCGCTTGGCGTAGCACAGTCGCAAGGTCGTGATACACTCGTAGCTCGGGTGTGGAGTTATGAACTGTGAGATCTTTACCTAAAAGACAACACTCCGTGTTAGCAAACGATGTATGTAAATTGTTCTTGTTGTTCTTGGACAGGGTAAATGAATCATGATGAAAAGTTGCCAAACTGAGCAAATTTTCACCACATATCATTCTTACTTTCTCTGATCACAATAACATCTTTAAAACTAACTCGACTTTCCAATCAAGAAAAAACAATATTATTCTGTCAACTCTTATCCTGAAGTAAGTCTATAAAATATTATGTATGTTCTGGACTACGCAAGATCCAATAATTGAATTGAGACTTCTACTACAACATTTAAAACATGTTTCAGACTATTCATTATGAAATCTTGGGGTTTGGTATGACTTGGTAATTGTTTGTTTCTTGAAAAAAATTTGTATACATCCCTAGCAATATGACTGTGCCCCTGAACATTTTTATGTATGTTTCCTGGTGTTCAGGGGCACACCCATATTGCTTATCATTGTAATAATAATGGCAATCAAAATATAACCGAGAAGAACAAGAAGCCTATTCATCTCAAACAATTTGACGATCCTCTTGGCTCTTAAGATTTTTTTTCTCCCTAAATCTTTTTTTCAACTGGACAGAAATATATAATTTACTGAGCAATGAGTCTCATTTGAGTTCAACAACAAAGCTTGGTATGTAACTCAGTTCTAGAATTACTCGGATACTCTCCTACTATCTAGAGCATCCTCTTCTTTCACTTCTTCTCTCTTCACAGTTCTACAATTCAGATACATATTCCTAACAAGGTTCAGTCAAATAACCCTCTTCAAACTTAGCATGAAAACCCCCTAAGTAGCTGGGATTGACTCACTGGATTCTTTCTCTTGTCCATGGTCCACCGACACTCGGGCAGGTGTTGTTTGGACTCTCTGCATTTCGGTTTGAGACACAACGGCCAGCCACACTGTGAGCAGGGCTCAGAGTTGTGTTGTGACACAGCCTGTAGACAACTCAGACACACGGGACCTGTCACCTGTCAAGACAATAACAGGACCAATATACAAGTGGTTTACTATTATTGACAAAGCCATTCGGACGTTATTTAGATTATAGAACCAGACTGTTAATAGGCCTACGTCGCAATATCTGCTAATATTCTCACCCACGATATTCGTGCCCACGCCGACACATCAAGGTGCGTTTTCAAAGCGAAGATGAGTGAACGAGTAATGAGAAGACAGCTTTGTATCTAACTGATGAGTTACAATTTATCACGGTAATGTATGGTTATCTAGCCAGTAGGTATAATTAATGAAAAGCTCAATGACGAAGGACATGCATGGGTCTGACCAGGGCTGGATTATCCTCTAGTCACACCAGGTGCTTCACCTAGAGCGTCTTCAGTAGGAGCATAATTTGACTCAGGGATGTCAAGTCGAGATACAGTCAGGGTTCGGTACACAATCTCAAATCCGAATTCTGATTCCCAAAAACCTAGTTCAGAAATGTAAATCAAAGTACAGTAATTAGAAAAATGTTCATACAATCTACTGTAAAATCGATTTTATTACCTACTTTATTTTGGGTTAACCTGTTCGCAATGGCTCTGGAAAATTGATTCGCAAAAAGGAAATTCCTCTGTTCCCTCAGGGGTGTGCTAATTAGTTAACCATCTTGGTTAGAGGGTACAAACATTCAGTTTGGCCTTGGACGTAAAATCAACCTGGGCCTGATTCTGACAAGGGATCAAAGTGTAAAACACTGGTTTGGAGAATCGTCCATTTACAATAAAAACTAATTTGATTTGTAAGTTTTACTCCTATATGGGATGCCGTAAAGAATACTCTGGCTTCGTGTCAATAAAACCATTAGCTTTAATCACAGTGACAATAAGGACTTGTATGTGAGCTGAGTTTGCCAACGTGTGTTTAACTAGTGTTGTGGGCGGAAGTTTTAAATGCAGAAGACAGTTGGCAAGCTCCAGTGACAACTAAATAGAATTCTACACCTCATAACTACAACGTTTAAATTGGCTTAGCAAATCAAACGCCTCGTGGAAATGTTAATTTCTGTTCTGTTTTATGTTCCTATTTATAATCCCCACGTTTGTTCGGGAGGTGAGCAAATAGTCCAATGTCAATAGTGCCAAGTAAATCGTATAGTCTACAAGTAAAACAATAACCGTCTGTAAGGTAATTCAAGGAATAACTTTGATTTTGGATTACTGTATTTTCAAAGCCTAACTAGACTCTATTTACAACGTGTATTACTTGAATAGTTTTCGTTGTATATCGAGAAATCATTTACCGTTTTAAAAAGGAGGCCGGTTCAATCAGCTTGTGTAAATTGACAATAATTAATTGTTATTTGAACAATATGAAAAACAAAATCTGAAAAATGACAAATTATTTCGGTTGATATTGATTGTTACATTATTTTATCGCCAATGTCCTATGCCAATGCTGAATACGTTTCATTCTAGGGATTTTAAAAGCATTAGCCTACTTTAGTCAACAAATACATTCGACAGATTCACCCTGGTACGTGAGGAACTCCGTCATCAGGGACTCTACGGCAGTACCAACTCTCCGAGACTTCGTCGACGGCCTTCGAGCGAGACTTGAAGAGACGGCGGATGTTTCTCCGTGGGAACAAATCAGGGACCTGGTTGCCGAGGGTGTTCCACAGCTCCGCCCCCAGATCAACGACTAACCCCCAGGAACGACGTTGACGTCTACAGGTAGCTGAGCTACCAGGGCTTAGACCCACATCAGACCAGAAGTATATGCTCCTAGCGAGCAGGCACTTCACCAGACGTGGCGCTAGTCGCCACGTCATATACACTTGGACTTTGGATAACTGCAGTTTTTGCCGCAGTGTGACGAAATACAATACAAACACTTGTGGATTTGTACCATCACATTCGTTTTAAAGAGAAAGAATGTGTTACTGTATATCACAAGAAATAGTAGTTTGCATTAACACTATTTACGCGAGTTATACTACTTTACCTACAACAGTGTTTTAATTAGGTACTAAAAATCACTAATAAATTCTAGGAGAGGTCATGTTTTCGTTTATTCTCTCATTGCCACTGACAGTGATGCAACGAAACATTGTACCAAACAAAAATTGCACCACTCAACAATTAAATTGGACTGAACAGCTGATTAGTTGAAGTTCGAATAATTACAATTTTACTTCTTCTCTCTCCTTGAACATCATTAGTCCGTTACCCGTGTTGTTATGAGTAAAACATGGTAAAACTATGCTGTTATGAAAGTAAACAATGTTGTTATGTAAAAATGTTCAATTCTAAGAACTTAACTGAAATGGCTACTTAAAAAAAAAAAACGGTCGTAGGTAAACGTATGTTAAACAAGTTTTTAGCGAATTTCCCATATAGGGAATAAGCTATTACCGTAGGTCTCATGGTAAGACCTAGACCCGGGACCGATTTACTTTTTCGTTTTGAGGTCCCCAGAGACCAAAAACACCATCCGTTCAAATTCATATATATATATATATTTATATATATATATATTTATATATATATATTAATATATATATATATATATTTATATGGGTCCGTTAGCGCGATAACTCGAGCAAAAATTATCCGATTTTGATGAAATTTGGTTCAAACGTGTAAACCTACGTTTATTTGAACGAGTTCGCGAACCAGCATAATCGGACCAAGGGAACAGGGGTTTATGGGGGGTTTTATGGGGTAAAAATGGGTTTGTCCCATTTTTTACCCTAAAAACAAAAAATTTTGCAATTTCTTTCTCAACCATTTTGTAGAGCTTAAAAAAAGAAATATTTTAGTATATTGAAGCGCTGTTGTATGCCTAACGGTCACGGAGAAAATAAAAAAAAGTGTAATTTAAAATTCCCATGTTATTCTTATAGAGAAAATGAAAACTGTTGTAGTTTACTTGTTTATGGATATATATTGACAAAATTTGGCAAATTTATTTATTTCATCCTATACTATTGACATATGGTCAAAAAACACTTTTTACCTTCCCCGTAGCAGCAAACCTAAGCACTTGTTAAATCTAATGTAATTTAAATTGGGAATAAATATGTCTTATTTATGGAAATATTTTAGTAAAAATGTAGTCAGACAAGTTGAAATTCGCTTAGTCTGCAGGTTTGCTGCGGCGGGGGTATTTATGTTATAAGACTACTTGACATTGGGTGACTCACCTGACTTGGTCCTTGCAGTAGTGGAGGCTCCTTGAGGATGACCTCCCCAGCGGTAATGTCCCGAGTAGCTACTAGGTGTCGTCCCAGCACTGGGTCCTCACAAACCTGCAGACAAACATCCATCGCCTGCTAACGGGTAATTGAAATATGAATCAGATCAGATTAAACATACCCTCTTGTAGATTTTAGATAATTCTGCTTCACCTAGAACGCAATGCTTCGGTTGGTTCCTTTCGGCTTTTAAGAGTGATTTGTTGATACATTATGGATATTGTTATTTATATTATTTTAACCTGTTCTTCCGATTGAAACTATGTAATTACTAACAACAACTTGTCCTCTGGTCAACTTTCAGTTGAAACCGTCGTAAAATTTGCCAAGATGAAATACAAATAAAACAAGTATAGCATTTCACAATACGATAAGACGCCTACGTGCACTGGTCAAACAGACAACATCCTCCACATCACTTACTATTGTGAAGACTTGGTAGTAGAAGCTTGCCTTAAACACACCTTGATATGTTTGTGTTTGGCCCAGTCCATTTTCTGGTGTTCCTTGTTGCAGTAGTAGACCTGACACATCACTAGCTATTGTGAAGACTTGGTAGTAGAACCATCGACTATACACCTCTATTCAATGGTAGGTAGAACCTTACCTTGAAGGGTTTGCATCTATGTTTGTGTTTAGCCCAGTCCAGTTTCTGGTGTTCCTTGTTGCAGTAGTAGACCTGACAACATCCTCCACATCACTTACTATTGTCAAGACTTGGTAGTAGAAGCTTACCTAGAAAGGTTTGCATGTATGTTTGTGTTTAGCCCAGTCCAGTTTCTGGTGTTCCTTGTTGCAGTAGTAGACCTGACAACATCCTCCACATCACTTACTATTGTCAAGACTTGGTAGTAGAAGCTTACCTAGAAAGGTTTGCATGTATGTTTGTGTTTAGCCCAGTCCAGTTTCTGGTGTTCCTTGTTGCAGTAATAGACCTGACAACATCCTCCACATCACTTACTATTGTGAAGACTTGGTAGTAGAAGCTTACCTTAATTGGTTTGCATGTATGTTTGTGTTTAGCCCAGTCCAGTTTCTGGTGTTCCTTGTTGCAGTAGTAGACCTGACAACATCCTCCACATCACTTACTATTGTCAAGACTTGGTAGTAGAAGCTTACCTTGAAAGGTTTGCATGTATGTTTGTGTTTAGCCCAGTCCAGTTTCTGGTGTTCCTTGTTGCAGTAGTAGACCTGACAACATCCTCCACATTACTTACTATTGTGAAAACTTGGTAGTAGAAGCTTACCTTGAAAGGTTTGCATGTATGTGTTTAGCCCAGTCCAGTTTCTGGTGTTCCTTGTTGCAGTAGTAGACCTGACAACATCCTCCACATCGCTTACTATTGTGAAGACTTGGTAGTAGAAGCTTACCTTGAAAGGTTTGCATGTATGTTTGTGTTTAGCCCAGTCCAGTTTCTGGTGTTCCTTGTTGCAGTAGTAGACCTGACAACATCCTCCACATCACTTACTATTGTGAAGACTTGGTAGTAGAAGCTTACCTTGAAAGGTTTGCATGTATGTTTGTGTTTAGCCCAGTCCAGTTTCTGGTGTTCCTTGTTGCAGTAGTAGACCTGACAACATCCTCCACATAACTTACTATTGTGAAGACTTGGTAGTAGAAGCTTACCTTGAAAGGTTTGCATGTATGTTTGTGTTTAGCCCAGTCCAGTTTCTGGTGTTCCTTGTTGCAGTAGTAGACCTGACAACATCCTCCACATCACTTACTATTGTGAAGACTTGGTAGTAGAAGCTTACCTTGAAAGGTTTGCATGTATGTTTGTGTTTAGCCCAGTCCAGTTTCTGGTGTTCCTTGTTGCAGTAGTAGACCTGACAACATCCTCCACATTACTTACTATTGTGAAAACTTGGTAGTAGAAGCTTACCTTGAAAGGTTTGCATGTATGTGTTTAGCCCAGTCCAGTTTCTGGTGTTCCTTGTTGCAGTAGTAGACCTGACAACATCCTCCACATCGCTTACTATTGTGAAGACTTGGTAGTAGAAGCTTACCTTGAAAGGTTTGCATGTATGTTTGTGTTTAGCCCAGTCCAGTTTCTGGTGTTCCTTGTTGCAGTAGTAGACCTGACAACATCCTCCACATCACTTACTATTGTGAAGACTTGGTAGTAGAAGCTTACCTTGAAAGGTTTGCATGTATGTTTGTGTTTAGCCCAGTCCAGTTTCTGGTGTTCCTTGTTGCAGTAGTAGACCTGACAACATCCTCCACATAACTTACTATTGTGAAGACTTGGTAGTAGAAGCTTACCTTGAAAGGTTTGCATGTATGTTTGTGTTTAGCCCAGTCCAGTTTCTGGTGTTCCTTGTTGCAGTAGTAGACCTGACAACATCCTCCACATCACTTACTATTGTGAAGACTTGGTAGTAGAAGCTTACCTTGAAAGGTTTGCATGTATGTTTGTGTTTAGCCCAGTCCAGTTTCTGGTGTTCCTTGTTGCAGTAATAGACCTGACAACATCCTCCACATCCTTACTATTGTGAAGACTTGGTAGTAGAAGCTTACCTTGAAAGGTTTGCATGTATGTTTGTGTTTAGCCCAGTCCAGTTTCTGGTGTTCCTTGTTGCAGTAGTAGACCTGACAACATCCTCCACATCACTTACTATTGTGAAGACTTGGTAGTAGAAGCTTACCTTGAAAGGTTTGCATGTATGTTTGTGTTTAGCCCAGTCCAGTTTCTGGTGTTCCTTGTTGCAGTAGTAGACCTGACAACATCCTCCACATCACTTACTATTGTGAAGACTTGGTAGTAGAAGCTTACCTTGAAAGGTTTGCATGTATGTTTGTGTTTAGCCCAGTCCAGTTTCTGGTGTTCCTTGTTGCAGTAGTAGACCTGACAACATCCTCCACATCACTTACTATTGTGAAGACTTGGTAGTAGAAGCTTACCTTGAAAGGTTTGCATGTATGTTTGTGTTTAGCCAGTCCAGTTTCTGGTGTTCCTTGTTGCAGTAGTAGACCTGACAACATCCTCCACATCACTTACTATTGTGAAGACTTGGTAGTAGAAGCTTACCTTGAAAGGTTTGCATGTATGTTTGTGTTTAGCCCAGTCCAGTTTCTGGTGTTCTTTGTTGCAGTAATAGACCTGACAACATCCTCCACATCACTTACTATTGTGAAGACTTGGTAGTAGAAGCTTACCTTGAAAGGTTTGCATGTATGTTTGTGTTTAGCCCAGTCCAGTTTCTGGTGTTCCTTGTTACAGTAGTAGACCTGACAACATCCTCCACATCACTTACTATTGTGAAGACTTGGTAGTAGAAGCTTACCTTGAAAGGTTTGCATGTATGTTTGTGTTTAGCCCAGTCCAGTTTCTGGTGTTCCTTGTTGCAGTAATAGACCTGACAACATCCTCCACATCACTTACTATTGTGAAGACTTGGTAGTAGAAGCTTACCTTGAAAGGTTTGCATGTATGTTTGTGTTTAGCCCAGTCCAGTTTCTGGTGTTCCTTGTTGCAGTAGTAGACCTGACAACATCCTCCACATCACTTACTATTGTGAAAACTTGGTAGTAGAAGCTTACCTTGAAAGGTTTGCATGTATGTTTGTGTTTAGCCCAGTCCAGTTTCTGGTGTTCCTTGTTGCAGTAGTAGACCTGACAACATCCTCCACATCACTTACTATTGTGAAGACTTGGTAGTAGAAGCTTACCTTGAAAGGTTTGCATGTATGTTTGTGTTTAGCCCAGTCCAGTTTCTGGTGTTCCTTGTTGCAGTAGTAGACCTGACAACATCCTCCACATCACTTACTATTGTGAAGACTTGGTAGTAAAGCTTACCTTGAAAGGTTTGCATGTATGTTTGTGTTTAGCCCAGTCCAGTTTCTGGTGTTCCTTGTTGCAGTAGTAGACCTGACAACATCCTCCACATCGCTTACTCGCGTCCTTCTGACAGATCACACAACTCTGTCCTCCCATCCTGAAAAACGAAAGACAACAGTTTTACAATTAAAAAGGTATATAACAGTATGCTGAAGAAATGTATATTTACCACAAAAAGAGCTGTGGTAAACTTTCGAATATTATAACACACACTGTATAGAACATAAACATAACTTACGTCACTGGCCAAAAGTAAAAAGGTTTGTAATTTTATTTAAATTAACCGTCAACAATTTTAAAACCATACTGTAAGGCTATTAGCATAAGATTCGGGCCAGTGACGACATTTATTTATGTTTATGATCCACTAGCTGTAACCCGCGGGATTTGCCCCGTTTAACTTCTTAATTTTCAAGATTATCTCGTTCGCATGGCTCAATCACGTACTGGTTGAAGTTTGTTCGCTACGCTCACTCACCTTTAGGTTGGAGCTCGTTCGCTGCGCTCACTTGCCTTCAGGTTAGCTCGTTCGCTACGCTAACTCGCCTCCAGGTTGAAGTTCGTTCGCTACGCTCACTCACCTTTTGGTTGCAAATTAGCTGTTGTCATAAATGTAAAAGAAATAATAGTGCTGCTTCCTGTTAATAATCATTGAAACTTTAATGCTATTGAACATCATAGAACAGAACCAACTTGATTAATTGAAACAGCTGTTAAGATTCAATAATTCAATTTCTCTTAAGGTTAACATGGGAAACTCCAGAGCCACTGGGGCGGAGCCCGAAAGGATTTTTGAAATAAGAATATGCCTATATGTTAATCGGGAATGTGAGCTATCATCATGCCAAATTTCAGCCCAATCCGACCAGTATTTTTCGCGTTCACTTGTCACAAACATACATCCATACATCCAAACTTTCTCATTTATAATATTAGTAGGATACAGTTTCTGTCGTAGTATTCGTGGGTTGATTGTGGGAAGTTATTTGTACATATCAAATTAAGAGACTCAAAAGCCTCTTGGTCCAACACTAATGATTCATACCTTTTATTTATCACCAATTAGACGCGTGGTGTATTTACTGCCGTGTTCAGCTGCTTGTGTAGCTGTTTACCTCACACAGCGGGTCCGTGGTTAGCTGGCAAAACACTCCGATGCAGTTGGACATGAATAATTTATCAGACTTTCCCTTGGCACTATATCCGCACTGTGTTGGATACACTTGATATGTTTACCCAAGAATAATTTGATTAATAACCTGAAAATGATCGGTTTGTGTATATATTCTGAGATGGGGGCGCCACCTAGGTGCGCATGTCAACCTAAATATGCGTGAAACGAGTGTAATCTGTGTAGCTTTGTTACTGACTAAGACCAGCTGTTTCATTAGTCAGGACCATCTATAATATTAAAACGTAATAGGGGTTTTTTTATTTCACGATTCTGAATCAACCACTCGACGGATTTTCATGATGTTTGTGTTGAAAGAAAGATCATTTTGAGAACTAGGGAATGTCGAAGCCATAATTTTAGTTTAGGGTCCCAGTTATTTAGAAATCAAGTTTTAATTTTTGAAAAGTCTAGCAGCCGACGCTAAGATTTCAAACTAGCTTTTGGTATGATATAATTTGCTTAACATAACAGCTGTAAACCACCTTACCACACCACCTACGGTAAATCCTTATTCCCTACATGGGTAATTCACTCGCTACAATTATGATTCTTCCAATAGAGATATTATTTTATATTTGCAGCTGCATTGAATGTCCTACAGGGAGGATTCGCTTAAAGACAATGTTTAGGGATAAACACATTATAAGCAATACACCTACTGATTATATGATCAGAGGGAAGGACTAGGAATGCTACATGATTACATTTAAGGGATGATACAATTAGAGCTTGTGCTAAGAAGTGATAACAAGTGAGCTTTCATTGAGGAACAATCATATTTGAGCTTCTGTCAAAGGATGATGGCATTGACCTATACGGGATTGTGATACTAGAACTTATATTGAGAGATGATTACAGAGCTTATGTTAAGATGTGATGAAATTAGAGCATAAGCTCTAATTTCATCACATCTTATAGGGTATAAACCAAGGCATGATAGTATTTTAAAACATATGTTAAGAGATGGTGATATTAGAATTATGTTAATGTATACTTAGGTTAAGGGATTACGATATTGGAACTTATGATAATGGATGATGATATGGGAGCCTATGTTAAGGGATGATGATAATGGAACTTAGGTTAAGGGATTACGATATTGGAACTTATATTAATGGATGATGATATGGGAGCCTATGTTAAGGGATGATCATAATGGAACTTAGGTTAATGGATGATGATATGGGAGCTTAGGTTAAGGTGTGATCATAATGGAACTTAGGTTAATGGATGATGTTATTGGAGCCTATGTTAAGGGATGATGATAATGAAACTTAGGTTAATGGATGATGATATGGGAGCCTATGTTAAGGGATGATGATAATGGAACTTAGGTTAATGGATGATGATATTGGAGCCTATGTTAAGGGATGATGATAATGGAACTTAGGTTAATGGATGATGATATGGGAGCTTATGTTAAGGATGATGATAATGGAACTTAGGTTAATGGATGATGATATTGGAACTTAGGTTAATGGATGATGATAATGGAACTTAGGTTAATGGATGATGATATGGGAGCCTATGTTAAGGGATGATGTGATATTGGAACTTATGTTAATGGATAATGATATGGGAGCTAATGTTAAGGGATGATGATAATGGAACTTAGGTTAATGGATGATGATATGGGAGCCTATGTTAAGGGATGATGATAATGGAACTTAGGTTAATGGATGATGATATTGGAGCTTATGTTAAGGGATGATGATAATGGAACTTAGGTTAATGAATTATGATATGGGAGCCTATGTTAAAGGATGATGATAATGGAACTTTTGTTAAGGGATGGTGATATTAGAACCTATGTTAATGGATACTTATGTTAAGGAATAATGATATTGGAACTTGTGTTAGGGGATTGTGATATTGGAACTTAGTTCAATGGATAATGATATGGGAGCTAATGTTAAGGGATGATGTGATATTGGAACTTATGTTAATGGATAATGATATGGGAGCTAATGTTAAGGGATGATGATAATGGAACTTAGGTTAATGGATGATGATATTGGAGCCTATGTTAAGGGATGATGATATTGGAGCCTATGTTAAGGGATAATGATATTGGAACTTGTGTTAAGCGATTATGATATCGGAACTTAAGTTAAATAATGATAATATTGGAACTTATGTTAAATGATAATGATATTGGAACTTATGTTAATGGATGATGGTATGGGAAATTATGTAATAGACGATGATATTGGAACCTAAGTTAATGGATGCTAATGTTAAGGGATGATAACATTGGAACATGTATCAAGGGATTATGATATTGGAACTTATGTTAATGGATGATGGTATGGGAAATTATGTTAAGATGTATTTATGTTATGATGGTATTAGAGCTTATGTTAAGTCATATTGAAACTTAAATTGGTTAATGTTCGTATTGAAGATTTTCTGAAAGGGTGGTCATATTGACATTTATGATGGTGGGTGGTCGTGTTAAAGGCGATGTTGAGAGATGATCATATTGGGTTTCAATGCAGGTCCTGTAAGGAGATGGTGTAGGTTACACTGGTTGATTAGATTGGAGGCTGATTATATTGGAGCCGATATTCTATACTACAGAATCTAATAATTTACTCTATCTCAAGCTCGAAAAAAACTATAATGGGTTAAACGTTCTACTTAAACAATTATTTTGAATATTGTATAGTTATAATACTTTATCAAATGAAATATTACTCAAGCCACAAATAACTAAAACATATACATTTAACAAAACATGTTAACTACTAAAATTGGTTTAACTGACTGCAAAGCGAAAACGGAAACAAATATAAATAGATATTCAAAAAGGCATATTTTCATGCAAATGTATCTAACAAGCGTTATCACGTTGTACAACACGATCAAAACAATTGCTTAACACCAACACCAATTCACGCCGTCAAAATAACTGATGAGTTATTAATTACTTGCCTCCAATATAAATAGCTGATGCACCCACAATAACACTATTCCCACTGCGCGCTCCCCTCCTACCTCTCAACCTCACGCTATTATTCTCGGCCCGTTAAGCCTAGGTCGCTATATTTAAACTCCACGCTTCCGAGCCGATTCTTCTTGGCAATAGAACAAACCAATTGTCTTACATCAGTGCCGTGTCTTGAGGCAGACTAATAAATTGTTCCGCGCTGCAAAAACTGTAGACTGGACGGTACTACAGCGCCGCTGTAAACACTGCTCTTAGCCTACACCTGTTAAGAAATTGTGAACTTCTCAAACGGGATGATTTAGTGTTTAGAAGGGTACTTGTACGTTTTATTTTCAAATGTGACTGGGCATTTTCAATTTGTTACCAATTGCAATTACTCATTCATCATCGAAAGAAAATGCAGGATACGTTAAGAAAGAATTTCTGTAGAAACACAACTTACACGTTGATCAAAACTGTTAGAAGCCAGCTGGTGTCATAGATTTGGTCACGGAGGTCCTGGGTTCAAATCCCGCTAATCCCCAATGGATTTTAGTTCTTTATATTGCCATAGTCTTTGGATGATAATAACAATAATCCGACACGCCAGGACGAAACCAACGCGTTGGGACTTCGGCCTGTCTATTTGTGAGAGTAAAAGATTCGGAAATTTACTTTTTATATATTTTATAAACCGTGCTGCGGCAGTTGGGTTAGTGTTTGGTACAGTATGTTATTACGTCTATGAACTTGGCGCATTTTAAGATTTCAATTCAATTCAATTATTTAAGATGGGGACGCCACTATGTGCGTATTTTAACCCAAATATGAGTGAAGGATTTATACATTTCACGATATGTCTACCCATATGGTTACAGTATTTTATAATCTAATATAGTTTTACCCGTTAGTCACATCACAGAGGAGACTAATGTGGTTCCTTAAGTCTACTGTAGAAAACCCTAGTTAAACCCACCATTGGTGATCAAAGTCAAAAACAGTTGCACGTCCTTTTGAAACACCTCATTGACTAATTTGTACCACTTTTCATAACGTTTTCTGAGTGTAATTATATCAAATTTATTTCAGTTCAACATAATTCTATTCTGAGGTATGTGCAAAAAATTATAAATCCTATTATCTGACTGTGTTTGTTATTGTGGTTGAACGCAAGACTACAAAACCGTCTGGGTTGAAACTCTACTCAAGGGTAGATCATCAATCCGGTCAATAGGCCTGTTGGTGTTCGTATAATCCTATCGAAGAGGCTTTGAATCTACCTTGACTTTAACAAAACGATTCAGTATTTTTATACTAACTAACTGTTTATATAAATGATTTTCCATCAACCTTATCCTTCGTTTATTGAAAGTAAAACTCGGGTAAGACTGGCAAGACATTGTACAACAAATCCAACTACTTTTTCCTACAGTCACCCGACAAAGTTGGCTTCCTTGTACTGTTTATAGTACAGAAAGCTGCTAATTGCTGCATATTTATACTTTGCCGTACGGTTTATACTTTGTCGTACGGTTTATACTTTGCCGCACATCAGGATTCCAACGAAACAACACAAAACAGCGTGGTTCTATTATGCACGTAATCCGTGTACGCTTGAAAATAGGTTGGCAACACTTAAAGATAATAATACTATGAGCAGCTGATTGACTATTATAACTACGATTTAACCTGTCATTTCGTGTTTATAGTTTCGGCATTTCTGAACTTTCTGGACTTTTCTTTTAAACGTTTTTAAAACATTCCTACGATCTTAATAAACAAGAAAATGCCTTTAAAGCATTTTTTTAGGCGCGGAAACCACTTCAAATTACAAAAACATACGGAACTATATTCTCAAAACGCGGAGCACATTTCTTGCTGAGGAAAAATAGCGGAGTGATACGGACCGCGGGTACTACTTTCTCTAGGGCATCTATTTGTGTTGCCTGCTGAACCTAAACACGTGTTGTACAGTGTTTGAAAGACTAATTATTTATATGTTTTGTAGTGACTGTAGGAAAAATATAATGTGTAACACGAGTGCAAAAGGCCTTTGCTGCACTCGAGATCATTCCGCACTCGCCTGCGGCTTTAGCGTAAACATTGCTCTCGA